AAAATTTCGTTATTGTTTATGGCTGAGTAATATTCCACTGTGTATGTGTGTACACACATTTATACACACAAACACACACACACATCCCACATCTTATCTGTTCATCAATCGATGGACACTTGACACTTGGGCTGCTTGCATTTGAATGCTTACAATTTGGCTATTGTAAATAATGCTGCTATAAACATAGGGGTGCATGTATCCCTTTGAATTAGTGTTTTTGTATTCTTTGGGTAAATACCTAGTAACGTGGTAAATTGTAAAGCTAGTTCAAGTAACATTTGAGGAAAAGTATTTCTAAATTTTTTTTTCAACGTTTATTTATTTTTGGGACAGAGAGAGACAGAGCATGAACGGGGGAGGGGCAGAGAGAGAGGGAGACACAGAATCGGAAACAGGCTCCAGGCTCTGAGCCATCAGCCCAGAGCCCGACGCGGGGCTCGAACTCACGGACCGCAAGATCGTGACCTGGCTGAAGTCGGACGCTTAACCGACTGCGCCACCCAGGCGCCCCAAGGAAAAGTATTTCTAATGTGTGTTGAATTAGAGAGAAACCCTGTCAATGTTTGACAGGGTGATAAAACTGTAATCTTTGGGGTTATTTTTTCTACTAGACGGAAATCTGTAGTTTAACATATAACCTTTCAGGTACATTTTCCTACATTAGTGGTTTTCAAAGTATAGTCCCCAAAGGGGAAGCATCAGTATCACTTGGGAACTTGGTGGGAATTACACATTTTCGGGTCCCATCCCAGACCTGTTTAATTAGAAACTCCGAGGGTGGGAACCACCTCTGTTTGCCCAAGCCCTGCCAGTGGTCCTGATGCACTGTAAAGTTTGAGAACCACTGCTCTAAATAGTCAAATAATCTTTACTTGTGAAAAAAATCCGAGACAGTGCTCCAGTATGACATTAAAAGGACACACCACCCACCTTTTTGCCTTGTTTCCAGATTTAAATAATTTGTCTGTCTGATGCTAAATTTCATATTTGCTCTTTCGTTTTTCAAATACCCTATCAACTTAAGGCAGTTTCCACCTATTCCTAAATTCTCTTTTTAATCAAAACTGGTTTTGATTAAACAGTCTATCAACTGTTTTCTTCTGTAACCTACTGATATGATGAAATAGAAATTGAGCCAGTCTTATAATGCTTAAAATGTAAGTTTTCTTTGACATCGTGTAGTATTTTAAAACACTATTGACTTAAACATGCTGACGTTTATGATTTTCAAAAAGCTCTTTATAAATGAGATCGATTTTAGCATGAATTAGGAAAGCTTTCCATCTTTTTCTATTTATGGAGAGTTTAATTGCGATGGGTTGTCCTTTGAAAGTTTGAAAGGCTGCAACAATAAAACCAGCTGGGCCTGGCTTATGGGGGCGGGATATGTCATTGAAGAGAGCTCTCAAATTGTTCAATTTCTTCTTTGGTTATTAGTCTATTCTCTAGGGTATTTTCGGTGCTGTTGCTGTTTTGATTTTTGCTTTTACCTCTTTAAGTGAATGTTGGAAACTGTTCCTAGTTCATCCCTTGCTCAAACTCACCAGTAAGCGGACTAATGCAACTTCAAACAACTTATTCTCTTCCCATTAGAAAAACTAAGGTATAACATCTAACGTTGGCGAAGCCACAGGGGAAGTTCTGAGCATGTCAATTGTTACAGCCAATTGTAACGAAGGCAACTAAAGGGAATTCATCAAAATGAAATAAAATACGCAGGCACTCGAGGGAGCTGGGAGGGTGCTGGTGACGTGGGCTGTACAGTTTATGAAAATTCATTAAGCTTTATACTTACAGAGTGTACAATTTTCTTTTTTTTTTTTTAACGTTTATTTATTTTTGGGACAGAGAGAGACAGAGCATGAACGGGCGAGGGGCAGAGAGAGAGGGAGACACAGAATCGGAAACAGGCTCCAGGCTCTGAGCCATCAGCCCGGAGCCTGGCGCGGGGCTCGAACTCACGGACCACGAGATCGTGACCTGGCTGAAGTCGGACGCTTAACCGACTGCGCCACCCAGGCGCCCCACAATTTTCTTTATGTGTATCTTGTTTCAGTAAAGTTTTTAAACTGTCTTTTGCCGCAGCCCACAGCTAACTATAACGGCACGGCTTACTGGCGGCATACACGGAACGACCTGAACCCCCCCTTCTCAAGAGTATCATCGCAAGTGCCAAAAAGGGCTCCCGGACTCCTGGTCTCTTAAGTTGAACACATTCAACGGCTCCCTGTCCCTCTCTTCTAGCTAAACTGGGGGCCGGCGCCGGGCAGTTCCGGGAAGAGGTTCCGGGGAGACACGGAACTCATCGCCAGCCCCCTGCAGCTCCGGACGCGCACACGCGCGCCCGTCCCCGCCCCCGCCCGCAGAGGCCCCGCCCCGCGTCACGTGAGGGCCAAGTCAGCTGACCAGGCGCGCAGGGAGGAGAAAGGCCGGGCGGCTTTCTGGCGCGATGGTGAGGGCCGCGGGGTTTCGGGAGGCGGGGCCCCGGGGCGGGCCCCCGAGTCTTGTGGCTGCGACCGCGGGCGGACGTCGGGACGGGCAGGTGGAGACGGTCCCGGACCCTCGGCAGACACCTGCAGTCGTGAGGGCCGAGCGTCCGGCTGGCAGGGCGGGCGGGCGGGCGCCCGCCCTGCGGCCTTGGTGTCCCGGGTGCTTCCTCGGCGGAAAGGAAGGGCCCGCACCCCCCGGACAGGAACTGGGCTTGCCTGCGGCGGGAGGTGCCCGCTTCCCGGCCCTCCTGTGAGACCTGGAGAATAATTTGCTTGGAATTAGGCTGAGTCTTCCGCACTGTTAGGAAGCCCCTTCGCCCTTCCCAGAACCAGACAGGACTAGACGTGGGATTGAGGCTTCTCCACTCCTCCATCCATTCATTCCTTCGACAGACTTCGAGTGCCTGCTCTGTACCAGGCAGGGTGCCAGGCGCTGGGACTTCAGCTGCAGGGGGCCTGAATTGGCGGTCATAGTTAGGACTTGAGGGGACGGGACCTAACGTGTGTAGTGTTAGGAAGGCTTCCTGAGCCTGACAGCAACCTGAGGAGGCGGGGGCAGGGAAGAAAGCTGGCTGGCTGCAGTGCAGTTTGTGTACCAGAGGTTTGGAAGCTTTGCGGGTGGGGGCTGTATCTTCAGACAGAGAACAGCATGTTTAAAGACTTCAGGGGAGAGAGAGCAGGGCTCCCTAGGTAGACGCACTTCACCTATCTGGAAGGGGACCAACTGGAGGTTAGTGAAACATGAGGCTCAACAGGTAAGCAAAGACCATATCTTGCTGGGTCTTGAGAGCTGGGAAAGGAGTTTACTTTAAGAAGAGAGCACTGAAAAAAAAAAAAAAAGAAGAAGAGAGCACTGAGAAGCTAGGAAGATCCTTTCCAGCAGAAATTAGAGATATTTTCCTATTTTCGGCTGACTTGTGGTGGGAGCAGGAGGGGAGCAGAGGGCCCCAGTTAGGGCAGCAGACCCCCCAGGAAATGGTGGTGACCTGAGTTAGGGCAGAGAGAGAGTGGAGAAATCATCAGGGCCTAAGGACCAGAGGCTTGAGGGAAAAGGGAGAGGCAGGTGTCTGGGCTTGGTTCCCAGGTGGCTGTGCTCAGTGGGATGGGAAACCCAGGAAGGGGAGCAGACTTCAGTGGGAAGAGCACATTTTGCCAGGCGCTGTGGGAGGTGTCTGTGGGCCACCAGGTGCAGCTGGGAGAAGACCGTCTAGATTTCAGGGGCTAAAGCTCAGAAGAGAATCTACAGTGAAGTTATAAATTTAGGAGTCATCAGCACAAAGGTGATCACGGTAACCCTAAAAACAAGTAACCTGAGTGATGTGAATTGGGAAGAGAGGACCTAGAGCAGAACCTTGAGAAATGCCAGCATTTTAAGAAACGGACGCAAGAAACACATTCTTGTAGTAAAAAAATGTAAATAATACAGAGATGGAAGACTTCTGTGGGTAGAAGTCAGGGGCCCATGAACTTAGGAGAAATCTCACATCTTAATTTTCACTAACTTCAAACTGAAATTCAGCATTGCCTTCAATCATGAATGTTGGCAGTAAGCCCCAATATTAGCATCTCTGACTTTGTCACCAATAGAAATGAGAGATATCTGCCTATCACATTACAGTTGTTGACATTGTTCATGTATGTATTTATGTTCATTTGTAAATTACAGTGGATATCAGACTTGAAACATACACCACATCACCAATTTATTTGAAGATTTTGATAACTTAGTTTCCTTTGCAATCCTATGTATTTTATGCATTTAAAAACATTGTTTTGAGGGGCACCTGGGTGGCTCAGTCGGTTAAGCCTCCAACTTCGGCTCAGGTCATGATCTCACAGTTCATGGGTTCACAGGTCCAAGCCCCATGTCAGGCTCTGTGCTGACAGCTCAGCCTGGAGCCTGCTTTGGATTCAGTGTCTCCCTCTCTCTCTGCCCCTCCCCGCTCATGCTCTGTCTCTCTCTCTCTCAAAAATTAATAAACATTTAAAAAATTAAAGTAAAAATAAAAACATTGTTTTGAGAAAGGCCTGCAGGTTTTGCCAGATGCCAAATGAGTCGATGGCACCAAAATGTTAAAAACCCCTGAAATAGAGACGAGTGCAAGCCTGTCACTGTCCTTAACACCCCATCACCTCACCAACTGGTCCAGGCTCCTGCCCCAGAGTAATGACAGCAGGTGATGTGCAGAGATCACTATTTGGGGGTGGGGGGAGGAGGGTGAGCCAGCGAATGAGACCAAGGCCAGGACCGGGAGAAGTCCAGAAGAGTATGCTGTTTCACCAGGAAGGACGGGTTTGTGTCAGATGTCACTGAGGAGTTGAGGAAGAGGAAGGCCAGATTTAGTGACAGTCATTTGTGACCATGGCTATGGGACTTCACTGGAGGCCCATATAGAAGCACCAGTGCAGTAGGGTCAGGTGAAGAGGAGCAAGAGGGTTGGAGGTTGAAGGGTCGTGGAGCAGGTCTGAAGTGTCTGAGAAGGTGACTGGGGGGGCCAAGTAGAGGACATGGTGTTTCCAGGCTGCCTGAGGGTCCAGTGGGATCAGGAGAGCATGGGTTTGCGGTGTCCTCAGTTTATGCGGTTTTGTTCCCAGCAGCAGGAAGCTGCCAACAGGTAAGAGGCATGGAAGGATGGACGTGGATGTTGCTGTGCACTAGAGTCCTGCCAGGCGGACAGGAGCTGGTCTGGGGAATGGAGGGTATGGGCAAGATGTGGTTGACAGAGTGGGTTTGCATTCTAGCAGGAGACAGACCTCAAATAGATAATAAAACCTGTCTGCTGTGATAAATGCTGTGGAGATCAAGAAAGAAGGATAGAGCAATGCCTTGGGTGGCTCAGTTGGTTAAGCGCCTGACTTGATTTTGGCTCAGGTCATGATCTCACAGTTCCTGAGTTTGAGCCCCACGTCGGGCTCCATGCTGAGAGCGCAAAGCCTGCTTGGGATTCTCTGCCTCCCTGTCTGCCCCTCCCCCACTCGTGCCCCCCCCTTCACAAAAATAAATAAATATTAAAACAAAATAATAAAAAGGATAGGGGCTAGAGTATGATGGAGAAGAGGTATTTTATTTATTTGTTTGTTTTAAGTTTATTTATTTTGAGAGAGAGAGCACGAGCAGGAAGGGGCAGAGAGAGAGAGGGAGACAGAATTCCAAGCAGGCTCCACAATGCCACAGAGCCTGAGGGGGGGCTCAAACTCAGAAACCATGAGATCATGACCTGAGCCGAAATCAAGAGTCAGACGCTTAACTGACTGAGCTACCTGGGAGCCCCAACTATTTTATTAACAGCTTAACTGAAGTAAAGTCAGTAATATACATCTGTAAATGTACAGTTCAATAAGTTTCAACACGTATATGTTCCTGAAAACTTTACCACAATCAAGATCACTGGGGCACTGGCCCCCAGAATTGCCTTGTGTAAGGGGCTGTTTTAGAAAGTATGGTCAGAGAATGCCCATTTGAGCAGAGACCTGAATGAAAGATGAGAGAGCAGGATGCGCAGAGGGGGTGGCAAGGACACGGGAGAGCGCCCGTTGTAACAGGAGTAGCAGGGAGGCCAGCGTGGCTGGAGCTGGAGAAGGGAAGGAGGAGGAAGTGAGAGGTCATGACGCCCTGACAAGGACTTTTTCTATGCTGTACCCCCAGCACTTAGAGCAGGATCTGCCACAGAGAAGTTTGCCACAGTCACTGCTGAGCACATGAACACCCAGGACAGGCGTCAGAACTAGGCTTGGTGGCGGGTGGGGTCAGTGAGAGGGTTCCCTAAATGGCCTGGTAATCGGAGAGAACAAGTGGCCAGACGGCCTCCATCTTGGACAGGGAGCAGGGGTCCCTAAAGAACAGAATGTGGGAGACACCTGGCCACACCTCGGCACCCCCACCCCCCCACCCCCTGCCCCAGCCTGACC